CCTGGGTGGCAAAGGTGTCTGGGAGAAGTAAAATGCTAAAGCTTGGACAACTGGCCCAAGCCAGAGTTGACTTATAGATGAATCCTGTATATTTTATAACTGATAACCATTGTGCTAGTAGGTATTGTGCTAGGTTATAACAACCCACTTATGCTGATGTAAAAAGTGCTAAAGCATTGAAACACTGAAGTCTGAACAAAGGCCCCAAGCCAAAGCTGCTAACTTAGTATGTCATCATTAACAAAGTATGTAAGCTCACTAGTGAAAGACACAGCTTAGACAGAATATAACCAGTAGTGAGGACAGAATGCTGAGAAAATGTATCCAGCTTCCCTTGTTTAGCCTTGTTCAAGGCTGAGAACCCACGTATTTGGCCTTGTTAGAAACTCCCTTGGTCTCCCCCCATGAGACCTGGCCAGGCTTTGGGTGGAATCCAACATGAGAATGAAACCAGAAATTCTTTGCTCAAACCAAAGGCGCCAGCTATTCTGACTTGTTGATCTCTGGTATATAAGACTGGACCCGCTCACAGCGACTTTGGCAGCCTCACCTGTGGGTGGACGCACCGTGTAGGATTTCCCCCTTGCCGGGACAGGCTCTGCAAACCCTCGCTGTAACCGGGGCTGCCCAGCCACTGCAGGTCTGGGTGATGGTGATATGTGCAAGTAGTGAGGGATCTTTCTTAATCACTATTGTCTCTCGTGTAGTAATGATTTGATGCATTACCCTGTATTCTCCTATTTGTTGCTTTACGTGCACTATTCTGCTTTTTCTTACTGCATGTTTTCTGCATTACTCTGTTACATTACTTGGTTATTACCAGTAAAATACACCTACTCTTTTCACTCTGGTGTCTGAACTTAATTGGTATCCTTAATCAGCAAAACAAGAAGTCACAGAAACTGCCATAGGCAAATCAAGAGAAAAGTGGCCAGCACTCTATCTCTACACTGGACTCATGGATGATGGCCCTGTGGGGTGGCTACAGCAACAGAGGTTTACTAAGTAGCAACACATAAGTAAGCCCATCTGGGCTGCTGCATTGTGGCAAGGCATTGCTGCCTGGGTAGAGCAGCAGTGCTGTAAAAGTACATTACGTAGATACTCACGTGCCCAAGAGCCATACCACCAAAGAACATGGAAACAAGAAGCAGGTAGACCAGGCTGCCAAAATTGAAATGGCCAAGGTAGACCTGGACTGGGAACCTAAGGGTGAGCTATTCATAGCTTAGCATGACACATTGGGACACCTAGGAAGAGATGCAATGTATAGATGGGCTCATGATACAGGGGTGGACTTGGCCATTGAAGCCACTGAACAGGTTATTCATGAATGCAAAACATGTGCCATGATCAAACAAGCTCAAGTGGGTAAAACCTCCCTGCTGTGGAGAACAGTGGCTGGGAAAGACAGTGTGGGTTGCTCCTCTCACAGGAAAAGGCAAACCCATTTGTGGGGTTCCTTTTTCTCAAGGGCAAGATTGTATTTGGTGGGTAATGCAGGAGGATGGGGAAACCCGGTGTGTACCTCAAGGAGATTAAATCTTGGGGGAAAACAATCCATGATTTGAGTTGCATGCCATAACTGTGTGTCAAAGTACTACAGCAGGAGCCACTAAAACTAACTGAGGATGAGCCTTGTAAAGAACCAGGCAAGACACAACCAGTTTCAATACCCAATATAACCCAATATAACACACCAGCTCCTATTAAGGCTCTACTTGTCCTTTTTTTTTAATCTTTTCCAAATTATCTCCACTTTTCTTTATGCAAAGTGCATTAGTTCCCTCTTGGAACATACACTAGGCACTAGAATTTCCTTATACTTACATAGCACTAACTAGAGCAAGATAACTGTAGTAATTTCAGATTTATACTACTGTAAATTAGAAGAGCAGGTCCATGTTTTGTCTGAAATGTAGACTCTCTTCTCACACACTTACAATGTTATGGCAATGTCACTAAGATGAAACAACAGATTGTAAAGTCATAAAAATATGTAAATTATCATAGTGTCGGTGCTATGACACAGCACTGGATTATCAGTAAAATTATTTCTGTTCTTGTGTGCTCACAGCTCTTATCTTGTTCACAGGAAATAAAAATGGTTCTTGCAGAGTACTTTATTACAAAATCCATTAGCAGAACTTGTTACTGAAAAACTGGGGAGCATATCTCAGGAGACTGAGAAAAGGAGAAGATAAAATTAATGATCATATTTGTGATTACATCGACTCAGAAAAATTTCAAGGTCTCACCCTTCAAAACATGGAGTTTGTCTGTTGGTACCAGAAGGATCCCTCCCACTGTGGTACAAAACATTTTGTCACAATGTAAGCACTGGTCACCTTTTTATATCTTTCCCCCCTCTTACACCAGCTATCATGTGTTCAAAAGGCTGACACTAATCCATTTTGGATACATATTGAAAACACTGAAGAAAAGCTTCCTCTATATTGCAGTTACATTCTGAAAAGTGATTCTTTCAAATGGGAATGTCCTAGCCAGAAAAAAATCTATTCTGAGATAATACCCTTGTGCGTATTCTACTAAAGAAAAAAATGGGGAGAAAAAAAATCCCCAAAACTATTAGTGTTTTTACTAACATAGAAAAACCAGTATGGCTATGAACATGACATTGAGTCATGGCTCATACACCATATGCTTGTGAACCTTTATTGAAATAACATGAAAATAAAAACTGTAGCTATTTTGCTTTGCTTTGTGTAGCCCTCATACATTTAGAACAGCAAGGGGACTGACCAGTTTGTATTGTAAGTCTGTATTGTCAGTAACAATGTATAAACCAGAATAAGTACATAAACTCTTTCCTGGTGAGACTGTACAACTGGCAGGCAGAAAACCAGACGATGTTTGTTATTAGAGAAAACTGGATTAGAAACTGCCTGGACATAAATCAGGAATGATAAACTACAATTTTCAGCAACTCAACTAACAGAAAACTCAGTGGGTATTTTTTCAGTTTAAGTTATTTAATAGTGATTTTTTGAGTTATTTATGTCAAGATAAAGATATGAAAACACTCACTGTGGAAATGACAAAGAGAAACAAGATGTGCAATGTCTGCTGACTTCATCTGATTGTGATGTTTTAAACCCCTTTCCAGCACTGACCTCCTTTGCCCCCTGCCTGATGTTTTGCCTCCACTCTATTACCCAAGAACTTCATTAACTAATGCAGCAGTCTAACTGATGAATGTTAGAGATCCTACACATACTTCTTCCTTTTTCCTAGAAAATACAGTTTCTTTCTAAGTATGTTTGCTCTTTAAAGATGTTCATGCAGACAGTGAGGACTAGTAATGGGATTAACTCTGCTGACCAAAATCAGGCTGTCAGCTGAGCAGACAGATTAACAAAATCATCTCACATGTTGCACAACATCTTCTTCCTTGCTAATCCCAAACAGCAATATCTAAGACTAAGTTAAAACATGATACAAAGACAAGCTGAAAGGGTAGAAACAACATCTTAAAACATGTATTTCCCAGGCAAACTAAAATCACACAGAACAAGTAAATGTTATTTGTAAGTGAGGGTCAAATCCTTTCCATGTCCCAGATACATTTCTTTAACTGACATTTCTTACCTGGAAGTAGGAAGATATGAGTTATACTGCTGAGACAAACAAGTAAGGCCAATACAAATCATATGTGATGGATGGATGTTAAATACCTTGCTTCAAGAAGCCAGTTAGCTGCTGCATCATACCCAATCTCTTTGTTGCAGAAGATCCTAAATCACTTCTTCTGTGCTTCCTACATTAAACTAACAATTGCACTGCAGTTGACAGGTTATCAGGAGATATGAATGATCTATCAGCCTGAAGCTGCTTTGTTACAGCACTGTTGAGTCTGGTAGGGACTAAATTAGAACTGGCCTGGATGTATCTTTGCCACACTGCAGTCAGAAACCCACACAATACCCACATTTACTCTGGTCCAGCTATTATAACCACAGAGACCATCTTCCCCATTTTATTCTTCTGCTGAATTCGAGACGAACCTTACCCAATCGCCTCCTGATGCAGCCAGGGTGGCACATCAAACCTCCCTTTCTCCCACCAGCTATTCTAACGGGTACCTCAAACCTGCATCCTAAAGGATGTACAACTCACACGTTTGAAGTATGAAAAGATGCAGCAAGGCAAAGAGAGCCCAGCTTTGGTCTTTTTACAACATTTTGTTCAAAGGTGAGTAAAAGTTCTGGGAAGATTCCCCCACAATACAACACTGCCCATGACTCAGAGCTGCAGCCTACCATGCTGGCTAAGCAGGAGAGTAAAACATTCATATGGTGCCATTCTTAACATATGAAAGCCTACCACTTCAGCTTGCACTAGTGGATGGAGAAATTATTGCAATTTACACCATCAGAGAAATCATCTAAACCTGTTGTCAGATTCACAGGCTCTCATGCTTAGCAGACTTTCAGCAGAGGAAGACATGTCTCAAGCTGCTTTGCTTTAGGGAAAAATAAAACTATTCTACAATTCAAACAACAAATAGTTTTCATTTAACCTAGAGACTCTGACTGCATAAAGGCTCTCTGAGCATAAATTAAATTTATGCTATGAGAGCAGCAAAGAAGGAGCTTAATTACAATGACAATATAACTCAATCTAGCCAATGTTCTCATTTACTGTGCCAAAGATATCCTTCTGAATTTTTACGCTTGGACTAGAAGACAGAAATCCCCAGCTTATACTGGTCTCTTTACCATCAACAGGTTGTACATGAAGCATGTGACATTACAAATTCTTACATTCATGGAGGGAATCCACTAGCTGAAGACAACATTAGGATTTAGAGATGAACAATCTGAATTTTCACTTTATGATCATTATTTGATCCTATTGCCCCAAACTATCACCATTAATTCAGATACTGCTAGAGAAAGCTCAACAGCAAGTCCCAGCCTTTTAAATGGCCAACAGGGTATACCAATATATCATCCATTGACAACCATAACAACTACTTACTCCACAGTACCGATCATCACTGAATATCTGTGGTGGCAGTGGATTGCCTTGTGCAGGCTGCCTATCCTCAGGAATATTTTTATACATCCATTGTCTTTTCTCCTCTGACATTGTGATATCCACTTCTTCAAACTCTATGCGATTGGCTTCCAGAAACCTCACCACATCTTGTTGCCTCTTCTTTATCTAGATGAAAGAAAGAAAACAAAACCCAACAGTCAGAGCAAGTCCACCATAACCCAGATGTGCTTACAAACATGAGAACTTTCCTCCTCTCTTACCCCACTTTCATGGGATGGGAAGTCACAAACTCAGGAAGAGAAAGGAGAAAATATTTTTCAGTTTTAAGTTCATTAAAGTTAAACACTGCTGTTTCTTTACAAGTTGGCAAATGTTATACTTCTTCATTTCTAGAAGGCTCTCTTTAGTTCAACTGTAGGAATTTCAGTCTTTACCCTCTAAAGATGATTTAAAGAAAAATAATCTGTATGGGACTCTTCAGAAGTAGGACTTAAAAGAAGCAGCTCATTTTCAAAGTCATTAGGAGCTACATTTTTAAATATGCAGGCACCTAGAAATGCAAGGTAAGCAACCTGGCAAGTCCCAGAAGAATCTACTCCTCTATGTGTTCATTGAGATAAACATGTCAGTATATCTGAAAAAAAACAGTCCAGCTACACACATTTTTGTTTTCCTAGACACCTACACATCTTTTAAAATGCAGCTCAACAGTTCCCTGAACAAGGTCTGTTGAATCTTTAATTAAGAGTGTCTGTCTGCATAATACACATGCCTAAAAATAAACATGATCTTATCTCTTGAAAATTAACTTCACTGCAAAAAAAATGCATGAGGTTTGTATTAAATGTATGGGGGTTCTGCCCCTCAAAGAGATTATCAACTTCATACAGAAGCCTAACAGAGGTAGAACACTGGCAGTTTTTAGCTTATTGTAGCTAACTATCATCAACCCTTAACAGCTAGCTGGGCTTCAAGCAGATACACTCAGGTGAAGACTACTCTGTCTCAAATAGGACTTGATATCAAAATAGCAACCTTTGAAATAAAAGTCTGTAGGGCTGAGGAAAGGTACCTGAGCTCATGCAGCTAGGTCTGCTCTGCATTCTCTTCAGTCCGTACCGTACTTTTTGCATCTACTTATGAAATTAATTATTTCAGAAATGAACTATAAATTATATGCTGTATTTTTTACAGCTATCATCAACAGCATTATCTGAAGAAAGAAAATACAGCTTTAATAATTCTACAGTACTCCTGGAGTGTCATATCCACGCAGTTGCTGACTGGCATAAAGCCCAGGTGGATGAATCATGCCTGTGGGTATCATATGACCTAGATACTATTTGGAAATCTGAGGATTTTTAAAGTGTATGTGCTAGTTGTTCTTGTCACACAACCCAGTCTGTCTATTTAAATGCACCATGAAAATACATAACCTTTGGAGGTAATGCTGATGGAATCATTGTTTCATTGAAATAAGAGGGTACCCATCCCAAGAAACTCCAAAGACAAAGCTCTTAAATGATTACTGTCTTTATTGAGAAGTGGGTTGCATAGTACATTTGTACATCAGTGCCTTAATTTCTTTCCCTTTCTTACATATACAGGTGGGTTTTTTTAGGCATATATGAAAGGATCACTTTTTCATATAGAAGGCACCTCCTAAAATTGTGTGCAAATAATGCATTATCAACAACAGCAAAATTAACGCATCATCATCACTGCTGGCACCAACAATAACATGCCTTTTACTATCCCCCTAAAAATTGCAAAGACAAATTCTGTTGTCAGTGTAGAAGTGAAAGACAAAAATAATTTCCTCTGTTGCAAGAGAGGCCCAAAAGAGACAGACACTGAGATTTTCTTAACAAGAATATTAAGTGTTTCACAGAATTCTAGAACGGTTTGGGTTGGAAAGGACCTTAAAGATCATCTCGTTCTAACCCCCTGCCATGTGCAGGGACACCTCCCACTAGCCCAGGTTGCTCAAAGCCCCGTCCAACCTGGCCTTGAACACTGCCAGGGAGGGGGCAGCCACAGCTTCTCTGGGCAACCTGTGCCAGTGTCTCACCACCCTCACAGTAAATAACTTTTTCCTTACATCTAATCTAAATCTTCCATCTTTCAGTTTAAAGCCATTACCCCTTGTCCTATCACTACATGCTCATGTAAAATGTCCCTCTCTGGCTTTCTTGTGGGTACTGGAAGGCCACTATAAGGTCTTCCTGGAGCCTCTCTTCTTCAGGCTGAACAACCCCACCCATCTCAGCCTGTCTTCACAGGGGAGGTGCTCCAGTCCCCCAGTCATCTTTGTGGCCTCCTCTGGACTTGCTCCAACAGGTCCATGCCCTTTTGTTTAAACACAAATGAGATGTCTAAAATGATGTGTGGGAGAGGTCATTTCCTTATAGTGGAGTACTGCTAAAACCACATGAACTTCCCCTTACATTGGTCAGAGCAACTAGCAAACCACAGAGTGCCTGGGCAGCCATCCGGCCCTGAGGCCAAATGGCATCATCTGGCCAAGTCTATTAAACCTGCACCCTCTCAGAGTGGCTGCATGCAAACTTAGGATATATTAGGATATAAAAATATTAGGAACAATCCCTGGGAGACTGTAACATCTAAATCATATCCATGAACGCTTATGAGACTGTAAGTTAGCCTTGGCCAAAGCTCTCTTTGCCTGCGACCATTTTTCTAACATTTCACAGTACCAGAGCTCTCCACTGTTCAGACCCAGGCCACATACCAGTACGCGTGTACCTACATGTACCCATTTTCATCTGTTGTCTTCCAGTAGTCTGTACACTGGTCACAAGTTTAACTGCAACTTAGATCTAATCAGATCCCTAATACTTTATTGTTCACACCATAAGACTTCTCCCGCAAACCCCCATTTCCTAATCTCTCCTTTTTATTTTTATAAAACTAATTAAGATGTTGAAGTGAAATAAATTGTGGGTGGATTTTTTTTTAGCCAGAAGTCTTGCAATTCTCCATATGACATCTGCATGAGTTATCAGCTGTGGATGTGCCAGCTGCATAAATTTAAACAAAATGCCTTGAAAATTTTTAACAAAAAACTAGCATCTTCTCCTCCCCCAAGTGATTTGATTCAAGCCTCTAAACTGAAACAAGAGCTTTAGTTACATTTAAAATCCTATTAAATTATGCTTTGTTGTTTAAGATGCATCTCAGAGCATCTGCCACAACAGAAGCCAGCTGATTATTCCCCAAGAAAACCACAGGACCTTTGTCTTCCTCTACAACTGGATTTGTGCCGCAGGAGTGCGTCAGCCTCACAATCCTGCCTGCAGCTCTCATCTGTGGTTACTCTAAGCCCTAAAAACTTCCAGCATTTGACCACATGAAATACTGAGCAAACACAAGACAGCACAAAGAGCAATGTCACTTCTCCCTTTCTCACTAGCCCATGCAGAGGATCTGAGCTCCTGTCAAGAGCCTGAAGTGCTAAGGCTTGGACTACAGGCCCAAGCCAGAGCTGACCTATAGATGAATCCTGTATATTTTATAACTGATAACCATTGTGCTAGTAGGTATTGTGCTAGGTTATAACAAACCACTTATGCTGATGTAAAAAGTGCTGAAGTTTTGAAGTACTGAAGCCTGAACAACAGGCCCTGAGTCAAAGCTGCTAACTTAGTAAGTAATCATTAGAGAAATATGTATACTCATTAATGAAAGATGTAGCTTAGATATCATATACTCATTACTGGTGATAAATGTAATGAAAACTTGTCTATCTTAAATGTATTTTTTATCCTTCTTTGTGTAGGGGTAAGTTAACAAGGCCATGGAGCCAGCTGTCCAGCCTTGTGACCAGATGTGTGACCTTGCTCATAAATAAATTAAATAAGCAGAGAAACTCCCTTAGCTTCCTCCTTGAGCCCTGACCAGGTTCTAAAGGAATCTAATTGGAGAGTGAAACCAGATGTTTCTACTCAAAACAACGGTGCCAGCTATTCTGGCTTGTCTGGTATATAAGGCTGGACCCGCTCACAGCGACTCTGGCAGCCTCACCTGTGGGTGGATGCACCGTGTAGGATTTCCCCCTTGCCAGGACAGGCTCTGCAAACCCTCGCTGTAACCGGGCTGCCCGGCCACTGCGGGGCTGGGTGATGGGAACGTCTGCAAGTGGTGATGGATCTGTCTTAATCACTAGTTTCTCTCTCAGGTAGTAATGATTTGATGCATTACCCTGTATTTTCCTGTTTGTTGCTTTAAGTGCACTATTCTGCCTTTTCTTACTGCATCTTTTCTATATTACTCTGTTATATTACTTAGATATCCCCAGTAAAATACGCCTACTCTTTTCATTCTGGTGTCCGAATTTAATTGGTATCCTTAATCAGCAAAACAGAGCTCAGTGGAGAAAAAAAATCCTCATTTGACAAGCTATGGAGGCGGATAATTTAGTCCTCTTTGTGAAAGTTACTTCTTCCAAGGTTTACAGAGTGTGATGCAACTGAAAGGAACCTGAAAAAAGTATTCAAATAATCAGAGATACTATGTTTCAAAAAGCTTGTTTTGTGGCTATTCATACACCACTTCAAGAAAGCACCTGTATTCTTACAGGATAGACTGTTTCTGTATCAAAATATTTTGGTTTTAATGTTTTCAGCACAACGCGATACACTACAAGATACACCATCAAAATATATATCCATTGTGAAGTTTCACAGGAAAATCTTTATATGATATGACCCTAATCTATCTTTAACACAGTGAAGAAAATTCTGATAGAGCTAGTAGTCTACTATTATAATTTGATGTTTGTCTCCCATATCTTTAGCAGGGTGATTGTTTCCTGATCATCATCTCTCTGGTTTGGTTGTTCTGGTTTTTTTTAACTGTTAATCTGTATTTCTATTCACAAAAGTAAGACAGAAAATCCCCAGAGACATCTCCATTTTATCCTGGTATTTATATCTGGTCTCCTTATTAGGATTAAAAAGCAGCAAAAATAGGATGTCCGTTTTGATATACAAAACTGTTAAAATGAGCTAATCACTTATTCAGTAGCCTGATTTACAAAGAAAAGTCTATCACAGCTAAAGTATCCAGTCTTTCTGCCCTAGTTTTCATTTCTTTGTACTGATTTGCAACAGGTAACAGGAGGATACGCTTTCAGACCTCTTTAG